CAATGAAATGATTGATAAGATTTTAATTTTTTAAGACAATCTTTAAAACAATATAGAATATTTAGCATAAACACTTTTCAACATAAATTACTATATTACAAAATAAACAAAAAATCAAATACTGAAATGTACCTTTGTATGTACATGCATATATTTATTTATAAATTACTCTTAAGTAATTCTCAGTGATGGTGAAAATAAAATTCAATTTGCCACTACTTTATTAATTGTTCATTAATGAGATTAAATTATTGCATACTTTGAGGCTTGTTGAAAGCACTCGTGTTTAACTTGAACGGCTCGCGGGAAAGAAATAACAACTGATTGATACTGATACTATGTGACATACAGACAACGTGTAAATGTTTAAATTTTTCCAAATAGTAGTTTCCCTTAAAAAGAAGCACAAAAGAAGTACAAAGTAAAAATTATACTTTCAATGAGAATTTTAACCAAACTTTTGCCTATCAATTTACCTAAAAGTTTTAAGTTAAAACACATATTTTTGCAAGTCCTCTTTTTGTTGCTCCGACATTTGAAACTTATTAATGTTCATCCATTAAAAATTTTAACCCACCTTTCAATCTCCCCTTCAGGCTACCCGATTATTGAAGTAAAGGCGGCAATTTACGTTGGAGCATAACTCACGACAAAGAATATATTTTTTTACAGCGATTAAGCCACTTGGCTTGCTTACAACGATTTCATAAATTGTGCTGGACTGCCAGAATAGATTATATCTTATATGGGTTTTTTGGATATATGTATGTAGGAAAATTTTTAGGCAGTCGAACTTGTCAGATAAGGCACAACCAAGAAGATTAACTGCTACCGAAAAGTGTCACGTGAAATATACTTCCCTAAAAGTGAGCACATCTTTAAGGTTATAAAGGTGTTTAAAACGACAACATGGCTGAGAGTCTCCATCCTTTAATATTATTCATTCGTGTAAGCGCTTTTTCCCATCCGCGAAACCCTTCTATAGCTCAAACTTTCAAATAACTTTAATTTCATTTAACGCTGTTAGGCTGGCGGCCACGGTAACCAAGTGGTTAGCATTGCGTACTGACATTCGGTAGACCCGGGTTCAAATCCACATGCGACCAACATCCAATAGTTATAGAAAATTAATTTAAATAAAAAAATTTATCTAAATTTTGCGGTCGCCCCTCGGCAGGGAATGTCAACGAGTGTATATATGTAATCACTCATTATACAAAAGCCAAGAACTAATTTTCCGCAAATTCAAGCATTTTTTAAGATTGTCTTGTTGGCATGAGTTTAAGATGTATAATGGAAGAACCTTACTTTCATCATTATCTCCATAAACCATCTGTTATACTACATCTTTAGTGATGTGATCTTTCCCAACCAAGCGTCCAGGGCATACGTGTATGTCAACTTCAACGTCTATATTTCACATACATTGTTACAGTTTATACTAATTTTTATACACAATTTGATAAAAGCACCTTACCCCATTCATTTTAACAGTGGAAAATTTCCGAGCCCTTTAAAACACGTCCAACACGTCATGCGGGGCTTAGGGCTGCACAGTGTCGGAGGTCATGTTCAACAGATTCAGGCTGCATCGTTACGATAAATTTTCCGCCAATTAAACAATATTCATCGGCTCGTCTGAAACCTTTGGAAAATAAATTTTATTTCGTTTTCAACCGAAACAGAGCGTTGTCTGTCGTTAATGTTAAATCGTTAACAGATAATGTTAAAGTTTAAAATTGAAATATGTTTTCAATAACATAGCACGCAGCCATTTGAAAACGAATATATCGTGAAGTTTATTTTTCATAGTAACAAAACGAAATAGCTTCGTTTAGTTAGTTGAGCAACTCTGCTTTTCAGCCTATTATGCACTATGGGTTGGCAACAGACAGTGCTCTGTTATTGCACTGCAATACTGAAGGGAAACCGATATCGTTGAATTAAGAACTTTAATATTTTAGCGTCCAAACGCCCAAATATTTCTTTCTGAGATACTTTTTGGCAAAAAACCAAATGCTTCACTTTTACACAACGATCGATATCTCAAAGTCAAATAGTCTCGAAAAAAAACAGTCTTGAACCTACATAAACAAATGAATATTTTGGTCAAGATGAGCAAAATTATTTCCAAGTCTGTACAACAAAAATAGAATTATTTTCCATGATATGAGGTATAGTAAAAAGTAGTTCATTATTTTTTACCATAGCAAGAATTCCGGAATTCCCATAGAAATCAAAGACAAATTTTGAATTAATTTTGATAGCTATATTTGGATTTTTTTGAAAATTTCTTCATTATTACGTACAATTTTTTAAAAGTTATTTCTACCTTCTACTTATTAAAGGCTAGCAAAATATTTATATAGTTAAGCATCGCATATCTAGATACAAAAGTGCTGGTTCGAAATAATGTCTCTCCTCTCGGTTTCTGTAACGGCTAACAATATCTCTGGAAGAGCTGTTGGGAGTGTAGGAATGAGGAAATATTTCTTTTATGAAGGCAATTCTTTTATTCTGCATTGTAAGTCTTTTTAACATCGCAATAAGGAATTGTATTAACAAAAAACAAAAACAACAACAATCAACAATACAATTAATTAAAATGGAATCTATAAATAAATATATATTTCAACCAACAATAAGTTCCTAAAGTTAAAAAAAAGTCATGTAGATTTTATTGTAAAAATTATAATTTTATTGTAAACATAGCCAAAAAAGAATGGCTGTGAAGTAAAAGATGCCACAACCTTAGCTGTGGAGTTCACAGAAGTTTCAAGCCTCACCGAAATATCATCTTATATGAATACAACAGATTGTCGGTAGTGAAAATCGGTAGCAGAAAAAAATTTACTGTTAAGTAAAGCTTAAAGTGAAATTAGATCGAAGGTAAACTGATTAAACGATATTAATTTATAATTTAAAAAAATTAAACTGAAAATCAGCTTGTACAAAATAATTATTAAAGTGATTAATCTGAACGCTGAGAGTTCTTCATTGAACAAGGAGGCTAGACAACAGTTGCCTACCTGAAATTAGTCTCTAAAACTCATTCGTTTTTAAGGCAATGAAAAAATCATGTGGAATTCCTAGTAGAATTATCTCAAAATAATTTGTAGAGCTGCTTTCGAGGAGTGCTAAAAGACATACATATAAAGATATATCTAGACTTATAGTTATGGTATAAATAGGTTCACTTCTTTGCTTTGAGGAAAACAAACAAATTTTGCTAGACAAACTTTTTCCCCTAAATTTTTTTTATATAAATGAATAGAAAGAATTTTAAAACTCCTACTGCACACAGAGAACATAGTTTTCCGAATAAGTGTTGTTATTTTGATATTCGAAGAAAAATAAAATTTTTTGTTTTAAAGGATCGGATTTTTACGTTTCCATCGCCAAATCGCAAAATGGCTGCTGTGTGTCCTCAATAACTTCACGAACGCCAACTTTGAGATCTTGAATCGATGTTGGCCTCTTGGAACTTCTTCCTGCACGGTATTAAATCACAAGATCTCGGTGGCCGATTGCGACCACCTCTTCGAGCATCAGGAAACTTTTCCCTTAAAGGATAGATATTTTCGTTGCTTGTGTAGCACATAGCGCATTGTACTTGTTGAAAATACACGTAGCCCAGGTCAATACCATTCCAGCCTCATTTTCGAAAATGTACGGTTCAATGAGACCGCCGCCAGACCAAACAGTTACCCTTGTGTACGGAGAGGCTTTTCAACAAAAAAATCTTTGATGCTTTTTAAGTTCAATTTTCTGTTTGTTTTTGGGTTTTTTTATAAAACTGTTTCAGACCATCTATATCCCAAGTTCGTATCCTGTTCGAACAAAGGTGTCTGGAAAAAGAAGTCTGTGTGGTGGTTTCCGAAATAGCAGATATCACTTCTACCGTCCAAACTAATGTTGTAATAAAAAACCAAAAAAAAACCCAAAAATAGATCTTTGGCTTTTCGAGTCACAGTTTTCTTTATTGACGTAGGCATCGAGGTGGAACTGTGCCTAATCAGTCAAGATGAAATTTCGATGAAATTCCATATAATTTTCATCCATTTCAAAGACCCAATCAGCAAAGACACGACAAAAAATTTCAGTAGTGTGATGTGAACCAAAAAGTATATCTCAGAAGTGAATGGAGTGGATAAAAATCGATACAATTTGATAGTTATAAGTCTTGTTATTTATTATAAATATAAATTGAATATGAGCGCAATATGGTAAAAACCACTCCTTTGTACTATATAACGGACCTTTTACTTTCCATTCCCCCGCTTAACTCAAGATCGAATATGTAAGGCATCAGCCAAACTTCGTGGATTTAAGATCTACCAAAAATAGTTCTGAAATATAACTACCTACCATATAATGAACCTTCTGTATTTGGCCGATCTATGGACTTTAAGTATAGAATATTTATGAAAATTATCGCTAAAAAAGGCCAACCAAGTTTACCTGTCTTATAACTGGATTTAAGACCATCTGTGAAAGTCAGAAAAATCGCTGCGTTTAAAAAAAATGTCTGCCGAATATCTAATGTTCGGATCTATCCGAGCCTATTTCTTATTAACTCATACTTAACCCTTACTTAACTCATTTTCTAGTTGCTTATCTCCAAAAAGAAACACGCAATTTTTGTCAAATATTTCAAAGCAATTCTAATCAACTAGTCATAAAGTATTCAAAAAAAAAAATCTCGCAGATAGGCCTAGCGTACGTGTAGAAGCCCCACTTAGAGAGTTCATTGAACTCCAAAAACAATTGAATAAATACGATTGTTAGTTGTGACTACATTGAGCAAGTTTAACCCTTAATTTAACTGACTGGTGCTGAAAGTGTCATAAAATTAAAAACTAATTATAGATATAGCCGAGTTGTTAGCACTACGTACTTCTTAATAAAATCCATCGGCTCGTTTGGAGGAGGCTTAGAATAAATTATCGGTCTCTCTATTTGTTGGAAAAACATCAAGACCCAAAACCACAAATTGGAGGAGGAGCTCCGCCGAAAAAGCGCTTCAGTGGTAAGAAAGCGGCAATTATATATAGAGATATGTTATTTAAGGCTCACTAAGTTAAGAGATTAAAAAATGTGTTCCTAATTTTTGTGACTATTTTTTAATGCAAAGTTTTTCGGAACAAAATTATAATTTTATTTCGAAAATAAACAATGCCAAGTTTCATATGTAATTTTTTGATACATTGAAAATTAGCTTCTTACCCACAATAGTGACAAAATAGATTTTGAGACCATCATCAGAATACTAAATTTAAAAATATATTTATACATTAAAAGTTATTTATATTATTATTATATGTATTCATTTTTATATAAAAAATATTGTTTAATTTCTAATATTCTTTAATAACTTAAATGTCATTTATGCCCTCCGTTGGTCACATAAGGGTTAATTAAAGAACAGGCAGATTAAATACTTGTGCAAAATTACGCATCTACAATGAGTTAATGACTTACGCATTTTTAATAGCATTTTCTTATCACCAAAAAACACGTATTAAAATAATCACAACATAAATTCATACATATGCTCAAATATGCACGAAAAAATTTGCTAATTGTTACTAAGTCATAAATATAATTACTTGTTGTTCTTTAACTGTGCCTGTCTTTTATAATTATAGATGCTTTTACTACAAACATTTTTGCTCACCCTGCTCTGTGTGCTACCCTTCACTGGTGGCATTTACAACATCCTTTTTATGGGACCCTTTCCGGCACCGAGTCACTGGATGTTTATGGAACATTTTTTGCAAGAGCTACTCGAGCTTGGCCATCATGTTACAACGCTGACCAATCATCCTGCTAAAGTGAAACATGGCAATTTGAACGAAATCATAATTGAGCCGCAGATGAATATGACACATTACCGTAAATTACTATTTCTAATGTACGAATTTTATTTTGAATATTACTAGCAGCTTTTTGTCCCCTCAGATCCCAAGGAGCGGATATTTGAAATGAAATTTACGAGCGATTTTGAGAATTTGAAATTATATTGGGATATCGGTTTGCTGACCACCGAACACGCACTGAACCAACCCAAGGTTAAAGCATTGATCGCGAGTAAAGATCTTCATTTCGATCTTGTCGTTATTGAGCAATTCTTTCATGAGAGTATGCTTATGTTTGCGCATAAATTTAAGTGTCCCATCGTGACATTGGGTACAATGGGTTATGCGGATAATATGGATCATGCTATGGGTGTGCTTACACCATGGGCTTTCGTGCCGCATCTGTTCCTTTCGCATACAGATCGTATGAATTTCTATCAGCGTGCTTATAATACTTACCTCTCGCTTTATGATGTTGTTATCCGGCATTGGTATTATTTGCCACGAATGCAGGAGATGGCTGAAAGGCATTTCGGGAAATTTAGTGAAGGTAAAAAATTTAAATATTTATATAATAATTTATTTAATGGATTAAATTTTGTTTTATTTTATTACAATTAACTTTTTTATTTCATTTTTTTCATTTAACTTCATTTCGTTTCACTTCATTTTATTTCATACTATTTCATTTCATATCGTTTCATTTTATTTTATTTTATTTCATTTCGTTTAATTTTATACTATTTAATTTCATTTCATATCGTTTCATTTAATTTGATTTAATTTAATTTAATTTAATTTAATTTTATTTTATTTTATTTTATTTTATTTTATTTTATTTTATTTTATTTTATTTTATTTTATTTTATTTTATTTTATTTTATTTTATTTTATTTTATTTTATTTTATTTTATTTTATTTTATTTTATTTTATTTTATTTTATTTTATTTTATTTTATTTTATTTTATTTTATTTTATTTTATTTTATTTTATTTTATTTTATTTTATTTTATTTTATTTTATTTTATTTTATTTTATTTTATTTTATTTTATTTTATTTTATTTTATTTTATTTTATTTTATTTTATTTTATTTTATTTTATTTTATTTTATTTTATTTTATTTTATTTTATTTTATTTTATTTTATTTTATTTTATTTTATTTTATTTTATTTTATTTTATTTTATTTTATTTTATTTTATTTTATTTTATTTTATTTTATTTTATTTTATTTTATTTTATTTTATTTTATTTTATTTTATTTTATTTTATTTTATTTTATTTTATTTTATTTTATTTTATTTTATTTTATTTTATTTTATTTTATTTTATTTTATTTTATTTTATTTTATTTTATTTTATTTTATTTTATTTTATTTTATTTTATTTTATTTTATTTTATTTTATTTTATTTTATTTTATTTTATTTTATTTTATTTTATTTTATTTTATTTTATTTTATTTTATTTTATTTTATTTTATTTTATTTTATTTTATTTTATTTTATTTTATTTTATTTTATTTTATTTTATTTTATTTTATTTTATTTTATTTTATTTTATTTTATTTTATTTTATTTTATTTTATTTTATTTTATTTTATTTTATTTTATTTTATTTTATTTTATTTTATTTTATTTTATTTTATTTTATTTTATTTTATTTTATTTTATTTTATTTTATTTTATTTTATTTTATTTTATTTTATTTTATTTTATTTTATTTTATTTTATTTTATTTTATTTTATTTTATTTTATTTTATTTTATTTTATTTTATTTTATTTTATTTTATTTTATTTTATTTTATTTTATTTTATTTTATTTTATTTTATTTTATTTTATTTTATTTTATTTTATTTTATTTTATTTTATTTTATTTTATTTTATTTTATTTTATTTTATTTTATTTTATTTTATTTTATTTTATTTTATTTTATTTTATTTTATTTTATTTTATTTTATTTTATTTTATTTTATTTTATTTTATTTTATTTTATTTTATTTTATTTTATTTTATTTTATTTTATTTTATTTTATTTTATTTTATTTTATTTTATTTTATTTTATTTTATTTTATTTTATTTTATTTTATTTTATTTTATTTTTTATTTTTTTTTTTTTGAGCGCAGATTTTATTACGTACTTATTTTTTTAATTCCCTTCCAATTTTCTTTTAGGACCGCTCCCAAAAGTGAATGAATTGGTCAAAAACATTTCACTTATGCTGATCAACAGTCATCGGAGCTTAGATGTGCCCCGTCCTAGTATGCCTGGTCTGATAGATGTCGGTGGTATACACATTAAACCCGTTAAGCCACTGCCAGCAAAGCTCAAGGTGAATATAAAAAATTATATAGAAAATTTTTAAAAACAAACTTTGTTTTGCATATTTCTAGCACCACCTCGATAATTCCACAAATGGCGTCATCTTCTTCAGTCTCGGCACTTACATACAGAGCACAGATGTGCCAATGAGAAAGATCAAACTCCTTCTTGACGCCTTCGCTCAGCTAAAGCAGAATGTCTTGTGGAAATATGAAAATAGAAATCTCACCAAAGAACTACCGCCAAATGTGAAAATCTACAATTGGTTACCTCAAAATGACATCTTCGCACATCCGAACGTGAAATTGTTTATATCACAAGGCGGCATCTTTAGCACACAGGAAGCTATTTACTGGGGCCTACCGCTGCTGTTCATACCTTTCTTTGGTGATCAACATCGTAATGCCAAGAAGGCAGTACGCGCTGGTTACGCGCGCCTTCTGATGTTTGATAAAATGACCAGCGAAGATTTGGTGCAAAATATACAGACTCTGATCGATGATCCTCGGTATAAACGCGAGGCGATGGTGGCATCGCGACTTTTTAGAGATAATCCCATAGCGCCGTTGAAGGAGGCTACGTTTTGGCTGGAATATGTGTTGAGACATAAAGGTGCTCCACATTTGAAATCCCACGGCGCTTTTATGTCGCTTTATCAGTATTTGTTGTTGGATGTTTTGGGTTGTACGATTCTGTTTTTAATTTTAATAATTTCATCGATGGCTTGTGTTGTGGTGGGTATTAAAAGGTATTGCTTGCGTAGGCGTCAGGTCTTGGAAGCGAGAAGAAAAGAATTGAAACGAAATTAATTTGTATTCTTTATAAATTTAGAAATAATTTTTTTTATTATATTTTTTAATTCAATATTGCCACTTAAAAAATATATTTGAAAAGGGTGTGATATTAAATGGACTCGGACAGACTTATTATTGTGTCAAGCTGAGGTTTCTTAGGTTAGGTCAACCAAGCATCCTTATATTTGCCTGAGGCTCACTGTAAGGGCAATAAAAGAGAAGTTCTAGAAAAATCATTGGGAGTCATTGTAGGTGGGTCTGCATAAAGTAGCTTACCTAGATCTTCGATATTTCACACTAAGGCTACACTCTGCTGGTAGATATGCAGTAAAACTTGCAGGACTAAACTGAATTTCTACTTTTGCGTCTTCGTCGCATACTCTGCAAACAAGAGTAATCTTTAAGTGATATGTGGTAACCGCCTTGGGCTCGTGTTTAAAAGTGAACAAATTTTGCTAAAGCCACTCTGACATAAACGGCTTAAAAGCTCATTGATGTCTTACTGCAGCGTCTGTTAACTAGAAGTACGCCCGTGAGTATTTATCGGGACAAAAGCGTGAGGTTCGCTATATATGAAGATATAATTTTATGTTATATCTGCTCTCGTACCAAAAATTGGTATTTTGGGCTGAGTAGGCAAGGCTTCTCTTTACGAATAAATGGGAAACTCTACACCACGTTCTGAAAAAACCACTAGCGTTATTGTCAGTTCAACTATAAGCCCATAAGCTGTGGCTAGAAATATGCCAGCAGCTACAAAGCTTGAAAATATTGTTGGAGCTCGATAATCAAATAAACTTAGTTTAAATATAATGTCCCTCTCAGTTTATCTGCTGAGTGAAATATGAAGAATAATTGAGCATTACTTTCAGAACTTGATATCAGCTTCGGGTTACCGAAACATGGTGGACAACTCGATGATGGTCAATATGGCAAAGAAACGTACTTTCGTTACGCTCTTGCTATCGTTGAAGAATTCGGGCGTGTTGATATCAACCAGCAAGAGAGTTTTTCATCGCAAGATCTAGCTTGCAGTATGACCAAGACTTTTCGTCTAGTCTGGTATATCAGAAACTCACAAGAGACGATTGCGCACAAAAATATAGGAATATTCTTGATTTTCGGTCTGTTTAAGAATATTTTCAATCGGCTGGACAAACAGAGTCATCATATTATAATATCAAGAGACTTTTGCAAAGGCTATAGAGGTGATAAAAGGCCTAAAATTAATTTTTTTTCAGCCTTAGCACCGCTCATTTGCTAATGTCGAACTACACTTCAATCTAAACTAACACACTGTGTTCACAAAGGAAAGATATATATAATTTATATACATGTATATACAATATATGACGCCTTTTAACTTCTGAATCCATCTTCCGCCGAGCTCATCCTCCAATTTGTGGTTTTTCATCTTCATGTTTTTCCTACAAACAGAAGGACCTACACTTTATACTTAGCCGCCTCCGAATGGCTGAAGGCTTTTTTTTTTGAAGAACTCTTACTTCATGACAGAAATACACTCGGAGGTGTTGAAATTCCCTGCCGAGGTGCGACCGCAATCAGAAAATTTAGCACTCTATATAATCATATGATTACCGTTGAGCTTTCACTTTAGCAGAGTGAATCATTTTTATTGAGTAAACAAACAAATACAATTGTCCCTGGCGTGATATATGTAAAGGGTGATTTTTTAAGAGCCATCGGAAAGTATTTAAAAGAAATCTTTATTTCAGTCGGGCTTGTATGTATGTACATTAGCCCCTGACCGGACCCGAATGTGAAATAAAATATTTACCGAACTCGCCTCTCACTAAGCCCGTTGTTACGCGTGCTGTGTGTCATGTGGCACCGTCTTGTTGAAACCACATGTCATGCAAGTCAAGCTCTTGCATTTTAGACAAAAAAAGTTTGATTACGATTCCAATCATCTTTGACGAAGTACGGATCACTGATGCCAATAGCCTATAAAGCGTACCAGACTGTAAATTTTTCTGGATGCATTGGTAGCTCTCGCAATGCTTCTGGTTGATCTTCACTCGCAAATCGACAATTCTGCTTATTAAAGCACGCTTCAGTAGGTCGATTAAATTGACCATAAATTGGAAGAAGCGCGCAATGAACTTTCTTAGCAGAGCACGCATTTTGATAATAAAATTCAATAATAATAATGAATTCAAAAAACAACGCTGGCAGTTCGTTTGTAAGACGATTCATGATTAAATTATTGACCAAACTGAAAATGTTTGCCAGTGATATAAAACATGAAAGGTGCGCCAGCTGTTTAAACCAGTTTTGACGAAAAGATTATAGCTAAAAAAAACACCCTTAACATGTGATAAAGGTTCTTCACACCTGGAATTTTGGTAGACACACAGACTCTCATATATGAGCTCATACAAGCACTGGGTACTATGCCTAATACGACTGAGTGTTCCTAAATGCACCCACTTATCTACACACTCACTGACAGGTGCGCTTACATACCTCTATTCGACAAAAACTCAAATATTAAATATATTTGATAAGAAAGAAAGAAAGTCAAGGGAAAAAAATAAGATTACCTAATTAATGATTTAATGGTTCTACTGTGTTTGTATTGAACCAAAACAAAGAACCGGCAAATAATAAAGGAAATCATAAACTTTTAAAGATGATAACAGCGCTCAAGTACATATATACATACGTATGTAGGTACTCGTAAATGCATAAGTATTTCCAAAGATTGAGTAGCAATAAAAATGAATGGCAAAATCAATTAAATTTCTTGCTCACTTGGAAACGCTACAAATTCTGACTAAATAAATTTAATTAGACGAAAAATAATACAATATATTCTTCAACAATATTGCGCGCGCGTGTGTGTGTGTGTGTGTTTGTGCGTAGCATATGCATACATTTATGATTAAATGTTGTAGATAAATGGATTATTTAAATGTACTTTGCACTTAACGTCTAGAAAAAAGTCTATATATTTTTTATTAAAAAAAATATGATATTTTTTAATGAAGAATTTTATTAAGCGAGTGACATAATAGTTTTCAGCTAGAGTTCTTAAAAACTATGTCGTTTGTTGCTCAAGTCAGCAGCCGTTGTTGGCATAAGCCATATTCCCGCCCACTCACTATTCCTGGACTTCAGAATCCGTTCTATATTTTTCTTTAAGGAAATTTGCTTGCGAATAAGGAATTATAGAAATTTTTATATATTATTTCGTTTCATTCATTTTAATTAATATTGTTAGTATTATTCTCTATTTATTGCTCGTAAGTACTAAAGCGCAGACTTTTCTTGAATAATAAAATCAGAATTCATTTATATATTTTTATAATATAATCAATTCGAATATTTATAGGGTTACACATTACGAGGTTTCGAGCGTTCTGAGCTATATTTTTAGCAGGTATTTCGTTTTTGTCGAACGTCTGGCATTTATGAAAATATATACTCAAACGTGACTACGTCTCGTGCTTCTAGAGAAGATTCTGGTGCACATAATCGTCCACCTACTTAATCACTTGGTGAATTTTATAGAAATTTAAAGAGACTGGATCAATTGCAGATCGTTGTGCTCGTTTCACCTCAAATGTCGCCACCCGAATGTGTCTATTTCTCAACGTGCTCAAGAGCTGGGACTTTCTTATGGCATATTATGGCGTATTTACCACCTGGACTTGCACCTACATCCATATAAAGCCCAGCTTATACAACAACTGTAACCAGCTTTTCATTAACAACGCCGCACATACATACATACATGCGTCGATGGGGTGCTCGAGCAACAAGCAGCTACGAGACACATTTCTCACTCTGGGAATACGGGCATTTGGGCTCCAAGAAGCCTTAAATAACTATTTACTCCGAATGTGTAATTGGATCTTGCGTATTTGAAAACTACAACGGCAAGACCGTCACTGTCACTTCGGAGCATTTTGGTCGTATGATAAACGACTTTTTTTGTCTGCAATTGAAGAACACGCCTTCAACAAGATGATGCCACATGCCACACAACATGGGCGAATATGGTTTTATTGAGAGAGAAATATCCCGAACGCTTAATCCCTGATCTTGCCGATGTCTGTTGACCACCGAGATCGCCGCTATGCCAAAGATCATGGCCAAGATACTGCGTTACATGTGCCAGAAAGTGGTCGAAAAATACCACGGATCGAAGTTTACAAAAATTCGCGAATCGGTCACTTGAATGTTGCAGTGTGTCCCATATAATGTGAAGGTTCAAACTTTTATAATAAAAAAGGAATTTCATCAAAAAATTAAATTTTATAAATGCATTTTATTTATGTTTACCTTCGAAACCTCAAAATGAATAACCCGGTATATGTAAATATTTCAGGCGAAGAGCATTAATGTAAAATGCTATCTTAGAGGATGTACGGCAGATTGAAGCCCGCTATCATTGTAGCTTTAGACTTGGTAAATTCTCCTTCTTTGCCTTCAATATCACCAGATGGGGCTGCCTCAAAGCATCTAAGTCTGAATTAATTATCCCCAAAAATTTATATATCGTATCAGATCGGAGCGACGCAGTGTAGGACCGGCAGGGCAATTGTAACTTCGGGTTACTCCCGTGATCCTTAGACCTACTGCAGCAAAGGATAGCCGAGGGTTGTAGCTATAATTATCTTGCAGTGAAGATGTGAGAATAATCGTCGGTATAGCAGTTCACTTTCGAACAGATGCCATCAGTATCCCGGCCAATAAGCCCCCTTTGTGTGGAGAAGGGAGCTTCGAGATATAGAAGTTTAGTCTTTCTGTGTGTGAAGGACGGTAGCAGAAAGAATCAAGAGTATTCTCGTCCTCATAAACGTTGCAGACGAGTGGCCGATGCCGTTATCCTATGAGTTGGCAATAGAAATTTGTGAGAAAAATTTTTGCGTTGCTTTAGATGATGGAATGATGAGCTGTGTGAAAAATGCGGCGACTTTTTTATCTTGTTTCGATTGCCCAGGAGCGAAACATTGCACAAAACCGCAAACCCAGTTTGAAGTAACATAAAGAAGGTTAGATAAAAATAAGTTCGACGTATGCTCGATCTATGGGTAAGGAAAAACATTATATACCGAATAAAACTGACAGATTACATTACATTAGAGTAAGGATTGTGACTGGTGATTAAAACTAAGTCAATGGCCTGGCAAAAAAGGTATCCAACGGAAGATAGAAGGTTTTGTTGCTTGTTTGTTGGGATAGACAAGGAGCTACTCTCCTACGGCCAAATGTTCAATTCGTTTCTCTAGAGGATGCAACGCAGAAACGCTCAGATTTGGTCAACAGGAGGGGAATTGTGGTTCATCAGGACAACGCCAGATCACATATATCGATTGTATTTCACCAGAAGCCACGAGAGCCTGGTTGGGTGTTTGTTATTAATCTACTTTATAGTTCGAGCCCCATACCATCTATGGTTAACTTCTATTCCTGTCTATGGCAAATGATTTTGCTGGTGAAGAATTGGCCTCAACGTAATCCTTTTTATTTCATCTGAAGGTTTAATTTTTGTATAATTTTTCTGAGCATTTTTTCATGGAAATTTTAACAATTTCGCGCTAAGAGTTTTGCGGTATAAGAGCAGCTCATATTAGATAACTCCCTGACCGTCAATCCTGGCTTGCCCAAAGTAGTCGGCTCACCGTGTCTCGGCCACGACCATCTTCGCTTGATGTTGTTGGATGTGATCCACTTTTCATCGCAAGTCAGTAACCGCTTCAAGAATTAGGTCGATTTTGTTCCGATTTAGCAGCGATTCGTAGATGAAAATTCGGTTCATGATATCTTTGTGCGTTAACTCGTGTGGCACCAATACATCGAGCTTCTTTTCGTATCCAGCCATATTCCAATGCTTCCAAACGTATTTTTGTGCATTATTTAGCGCTTGAGCAATCGAAACAGTACTTACATGACGGCCGGACTCAACAATATCCATGGTTTTATCGAGATTTTCGTCAATTACCTGAACGGAATCCATCATTGACGCACGCTGAAGCAAAACTGGATCAAACCAATCACATAACTGTCCGGAAAGCTTTTTGACTACGAAATGGCCTCTTTCAAGCGCCATCTAGCGGGACTTGACAGGATTTATGCAACGCGAGATACAGATAAATAACGGTATCTATTGGAAAAATAAATAAAATCATTTGAGTCAAATTAATGAATTTTTCAAACAAAAAATATTTTTTAGTCTGAAGCTGTCTCGAGGAGCAGTTCCTAGTATATATAAAGTATAGTATTTTATATAAAATCATCAATTGATTGTTTGATCGACGTAGGTGAGGTCTATTCGAAATGAATGAATTTCTCAAGAATTTTTTTTATTATATATTTAAGTTGCACTATGCAAATGTATATAAGATCTTTTTTCTTGAAGTCGGAGACTAACTTTATTAATGAATTTGCGCGGGAATCTAAGCCTCCAACTAAACAACGATCAAATTTCGAATCCAAGGCGATGATCTTTAATCCACGTACATACACCTATACATAGTTACCTCTTTTAATAAAACTGAGCTTTCTCCAAACATTCAAACAAAAAATGTTTAAATTAAATTCGTGCAAAACGTGCACGATAACGATGCTATGATGTCTGATGTTAGTACAAACGAACCTAAATACATATGTGCATACATACATTTACGCATGAGCTCACACTTATTGATAAATTTTGCGAAATTTCGCAAAATTTTGTACGCCCTTTTATTGCAGTTGTTGTAATCGGCTTTTTCATTCAAATTGACAACCCAATGATTATGGCCATTGACGACGAGTCGCCATGAAAACCGAAAAAGAATTTCGCTCAAAATTCTTTGAAGGTTAAAATTTCTACTCGTTGCGAGCGCGCGCGCGTGTGTGTGTGTGTGTGTGTGGGTCGGTATTGCGTTCGACTCATGCGAAAGTTCTCACTATCAGCGCTTGCACAGAATCAAAGTGATTAGTACATATGCTTGAGCTTACTGTACTTTCTTGCTTTCTTTTGAATTTATTTTAATTTATTTTTTTTTGTATTTTTTATGTAAACTTTTTCGAGCGTCGACATTGTGTGACTGCGTGCGCAATGCCAGACCAAAAAAACAACAACAACAAAATATTTTGCTCAAATTCAAATCAATTAAATGTGAAAGCTTGCAGAAGAGAAAGAAGAAGAGGATGTATTGTATGTACTATCGTATAATCTAGAATACAACAAAAAATTCTAAATGCCTAAAACAAATGCTAAACAGCAAATGTTTTTTTTTGTGGCGCCTTTGGGTTGCTCGCCGAAAAAACTTTCTTCGCAGGTAAGCTTCAATGTCTTGGCCAGTCGTTGCTGCTAATTGAAGTCCAACGGGCGTTTAGCAAATCGCCAAAGGAGAACACGCAATTTGTTGTGTCTTTCTGAGCTGAGCTGTGAGCTATTGAAGCAGACAGGCAGGCAAAATTCGCCAAGCAGAAGCAACTCGCAGGAGAAAAATTGGAATTTTTCGTTTCTAAATTCAATTGAACGTGTAACAATAGCAATTAAAGGTAAATAAATGTAGAAAAAAATATTAAAAAAAAACAATAAGCCCGTAAATAATTCTAAAGCAATATTGAATTGGTGATGTAAATGTTAAAGTGAGATTTAAACAAAAAACATCGTTAAATGTTAAAAAAAAAAATCAAAAAGACGTTTAGAGTGATTTCTGTTGAATATTTTTGATTGCAAGCTGACTGAAAAATATATTTTTAATTTTTATTTTAAACAATCAATGTGCCCAGTGAATTCTGATACTCAAGTTTTATCATTACTGTTATTTTAAGTACTTCACTCTCCGACGCATTCCGTTGGTTATGACTTTGTGGAATTAACGTTTAGTCTACTTTCTGTGTAAAATAATTCTTCCCCTTTTTTAATGGCAACAGTAAAATTGTAAAATGTTACTCCTACAGCCGTCGTTGCTTTTTGTAATTGAAGAATTATTCATGAAATTTAGAAATCTATAACTTATTCTTGGCCGTACAGTCATCCGAATCGTACCCGACTATCGAACGAACTGTAGAATTTGACCGCTGTAGAAAATGTTCGCCAAGCTTCTCGCCTAATTTGTGGTTTCATGGTGTGCGTCTTAATGTCTTTTCAATAAATGGTATAACCTACAGTTTATTCTGGGTCTGTAATGAACCACCGAAGGATTAAGTGGAGCTTTCATGTCAGACATAGACTAGGAGAGTACTCACTGTCGAGGAGCGACCCCAATTGTAAAACTTAATTTTTTGCAATTTTGAATGTTTATGGGAACATGACTCGAACACCGGTGCTCCGAATGTTAGTACGCACTACTTACTACTCGGCTATTAGGGCCGCTGTTGATAAATTCTAGCCCTAAAATATACAATCATCAGGTTTAAATGTCTTCTTCCTCTTCATCTTCTTCATGAGTGTGGAATCAACAATAAACCGCCAATTGATTCTTTTTTGGGCCGTTCGATGCCAATTGAAGACATGAAAGGAGTGATACCTCCTCACCTGATATTTTCAAGAGAGCGGGGGTATTCCTCTTCCTTTGCTATCGCCAAGAGGTACTGCTTAGAATACTTTCAAAGCTAGAGTATTTTCACTTAACATGTTGAACAACGCCAATGGTATATCTCATACAGTAAATTATTCCATCATCTGCGGGATTTACCCATACGCAAAGTACCATAAAACACCCTCTCGAAAACTTTTTGTGTCATAATATAGGACGGGAGTGATACGCGTCTTGGCAGAATGTGTCGAGAAAGGATAACAGCCTATACCTGTTGATAAGAGAGACTCTTAATTTCCAAGATCTACCCACGAGTGCGCATTGGAATACACCAGCAGTTGTACGTTCTTGTAGAATAACTAATACAATTACTTAGCTCTGTAGCTGTAGTAAACAAATCATACAAGAGAGAGTATCTAATCTGAAACTTCGTTTGGTTTCGAAAGGCATGGAGAGCACTTTCTCAATGCTGACGAAGCTTTTGGTATTTTTCAGCTTGCATAGTCATATAAAGTTTAGAAGGATACTAAATCCACACATTGCCTGATGCAGTTTACTCTTGTTCTTTCTAGCAATCACAGCTTAAAATCAACGAAGAGGTGTTTTGTATTGACTCTACTCTCAGCACGGTATTTTCCAGGATTCCTGTTCTAAGGTGGGAAGAGAAACGATTCTATTATATTTATATGTTTTGAATAGCTTCAGTTCAAGCGTTCTCTGTATGGCCTAATCGATTTTTCCAGATAAAAGCTATTTAGTTATCTCCGGTTCGAAAATGTAGCAACAGATCGCTTTGTGATAGACCGAAGATATCTTTCCTGTGTTCATAAGAGAAACTTCTTAGTTTCCACATGAGAATCCTAAGCTCTTGTTTCTCTGCCGGCAGTACGTAGGGAGCTTGTATGGTTTGGAAAAAGTGTAAAGCGAACTGTCCTATATAGTTTCATACCTAAATATAGTAAAATAAACTCTAAAGCAAAAATCATTATTTTTTTTCTAGAATGCAAAAATTGAATTCGTACAAAACTATTGATTTCTTTGCAGCTGTTTAAAGTAAATATATTAATATTGCGATCGTTAAAATATTGGCTTATCTAACCTCAAGTCTCCCTCTAAGTCCATCTGTTATCACTTGAACGGCTAAAATAGTATGAAATGTATTTTTTGATAGGAAAAAACTATACAGAACTGGTTTTTACCACTTTTTAGTGTCACAACAGTGACGAAAAAAATTAATTAAATTAAATATTTTATTTTCTTTTATATTATTAATATTTTCAATAAATTTGTTTAAGATAAATGAGTTAAATTTCTTTGTCAACATATTTTTTGATTAGCAAAGCTTTTGACCTGGCAGGAAGGCCTTGAATTAATGCAATTTACACAAAAATGTCTATTTGTTTTCCAAAAATTCTTATCTACTGAATCGCGTTTAGGCATATGAAACAATACACAACACTTGTGGGCATGTGCGTGTATGTATGTATTGATTTATTATAATAATATGAGAATGCAGGAATGTGAGATATCATAAATGTCTCCCTTTTCTGGAATCGGGTAGTAACTATGTGAAATTCATGCATTTTTCCTTTTTTATTGCTGCCCACTTTATGGCCGAAACAACTTTGATTATCAGCGCTGAGACATTCACTTGCGGCGTGCAGTCAAAACAAGAGCGCTATCAATGATCATGGCTGTTCGGCTGATAAACCGTACAACAGAACTCGCGTTGTTTGGCAAAAGGAACTAAAAAAAAGAAGTACAAAGAGCAGATAAATAAAAAAAACTTAAAAAGATGTAAACAACCTTTTCTTCGTAGAAATGTGTTGTCGCACATCTGCGGATGCAAACCAGTTCCTGTTGTTATAAATTGGAAAAAAATTCATGCAAGATTTGTTGCAAATTTGTCAATCAAGAGATAATTAAAATATATTGATAATGAACAAGCTTGTATTTCATAGTGAAAACCTTACATTGATATTAATTAAACAAAAGAAAATAAAATAATATTTGGGAAAATTAATCAAAATTAAAATAAAATAAATAAACCATAATATAGTGAAGTTAAAAAAAATAAATTACGAAAAAAAAATCAAATAAAATAAAATCAAATAAAATAAAATAAAATAAAATATAATAAAATAAAATAAAATAAAATGAAAGAAAATAAAATAAAATATAATAAAATAAAATAAAATAAAATAAAATAAAATAAAATAAAATAAAATAATATAAAATAAAATAAAATAAAATAAATAAAATAAAATAAAATTAGTTAAATTAAATTATATTAATTTAAATATTAAAATTAGATAAAAGGAATTAAAAAAAATATAAACAAAATAGAATAAAATAAAATGAAAAAATAATGTCAAATTAAACAAAAAATTAAAAATAAAATATCATTAAATTTATTAAAAGAAAATTTAATTTAGAAAAAAAGGTAAAATAATTTTTTTAAATTAAATTTAATAAAATAAAGTAATGAAAGAAAATTTTTAATTAAAATAAAATCAAAATAAATAAAAAAAAAGTTTAGCAAACTTAGAATAATATAAAATAGAGCAAACAAAATAAAATAAAGTAAAACAACACAAAATAAAATGGGAAATTTAATTTTATAATAAAAGAAAAGAGTTCAAAATAAAATAACATTAAATTAAATTAATATTAATAAATTTTTAAAAAAAAACAAATTTATATAAAATAAAATTAAATTAATTAACTTAAACTAAATTTAATAAAATACGAGTAAAGTAGTTTAAAAAGTAAAATTTTTGGTTAAAAGAAAATAAAATAAAACAAAATAAAATAAAAACGAAATTTAATTAAATTTGATTAAATAAGATTATAAAAAATTAAGTAAAACCAAATAAAAAAATAATAAAATTAATTAAAATAAAATCAAATATAATAAAGTAAAACAATATGTATTGAAACCAAATAAAACTTTTTAAAAAAATTAAATAACCCAAAATATAATGATAAAAATATAAAATAAAGAAAAGAATTTAAATAAAATAGCAATAATAAAATTAAATTTAGTAAAAACAAAGAAAATAAAAAAAATAAATAATATGATATTAAATGAAATTTAATAAAATGAAGTTATTTAAAAAACTAAATTTTTAATTAAAATAAAATTAAAATAAAATAAAACGAAATTAATTGTTATATAACATATTTACTTTATTTAGATAAAATTATGTGAAACTAAATAAAACAAAAAAATAATAACTAAATTAATTAATATAAAATGAAGTATCCCGGACTTTAGGGTATTCCATATCCAACGAAAACGAGGCCCAAAGGTATCATTCTCGCTGTTTTTCTGGTAATGGTCAGGAGAACTAAAAGCCAGGCGCTTTCAAACTTTTCATTTTACTTAAGCACTGTTTTTTTTTATTCAAACCACCTACGCTTTATTCAGAGACCTTTCTACGTATTTCGCTAAGAGAGGAAAATAGCATGTTCTTTCAATGGTCCATTTCCAGCTATCCACAGTTAATTGAGTAGAGACAAATTTTTTGATAAAAGGCTTATTTGAAAGACCGAGAACACTGTAAAACTTTACGTCACTCATTTTCTTTTTGCATTTATCAAATTCCTAATTTGTACTCTTTTCCAGATGCAGCTTCAATGGATCTTACTACTTCTCACGGCAGTGCTGATGCCACTGACGTGTACGAGTTATAGAATTTTGTTTATGGGACCCTTCCCAGCACCAAGTCACTGGATGTGGATGGAACATTTCCTGAAAGATTTACTGCAGCGGGGACATCAAGTCACAACCTTGACAAATCATCCCGCCAAGCAGACACATCCAAATTTAACGGAGATCATAATTGATCCCAAGCTGAATATAGCGGAGCATCGTAAGTTTTTTAGATTTATTTTACGATTCTACAAAAAAAATATAAATTTACCCAACTACAAAATATTTATGGCCCTCTCGAAAGCTCTTCAGAAAAATGTACACATAATTTTCTCAACCTCTCTCTCTCTCTCTCTCTCTCTCTTTCTCTCTCCGCAGGACCACGTGAGAATATTTTCAAAATGCATTTCACAAGTGATTTTGAAAATTTGCAAATGTATTGGCACGTCGGTTTATTAAGTTCCGAGCACGCTCTTAACGACCCAAAAGTAAAGACACTGATCGCCAGCAAGGACCTCGAATTTGATTTGGTCATATTGGAGCAATTCTATCACGAGAGCTTCCTTATGTTTGCGCACAAATTCAAATGTCCCATCGTCACCTTGGGCACACTGGGTTATGCGGATAATATGGATCATGCAATGGGTCTGCTGACGCCATGGTCGATCGTGCCCCATTTGCTAGTTTCCTACACGGATGAAATGACCTTTGCGCAGAGAGCTTACAATACATATTTATCGATATATGATGCGCTGTTTAGAAGCTGGTATTATATACCCAAAATGCAAGAGATGGCGGAGCGACACTTCGGCGGTTACATTGAGGGTGAGTGGGGGAGGAAAATAATTTTGTGGCCAATTTTTATCTCTTAAAAATTTTTAGGTCCTCTACCACATGTCAGCGATTTGGAGAAGAATGTTTCACTCATGTTGATTAACAGTCATCGCAGCACGGATGTGCCACGCCCCAGTATGCCGGGACTGATCGATGTTGCTGGCGTACACATCAAGAAAGCCAAACCACTGCCCGCGGATCTGCAAGAATTCTTGGATAATTCCAAACATGGTGTCATTTACTTCAGCGTCGGCTCGTACATGAAGAGTACAGATATGCCACAGGAAAAAATCAGTCTCATACTAGACGCTTTCAGTCAATTGAAACAAAATGTTTTGTGGAAATTCGAGAACTCTTCCATAGGACACCTGCCCGCCAATGTAAAGATACAAAGTTGGTTGCCACAAAATGACATACTCGCGCACCCTAATGTGAAAGTGTTCATCTCACATGGCGGCATTTTTGGCACACAGGAGAGCATACACTGGGGCGTGCCCATGTTGTGTATACCCTTCTTCGGCGATCAATTCCGCAACTCGCAACGTTCGGTCCAAGCTGGTTATGCGCGTTGGTTGCATTTCGGCAAAATGACCAGCGATGATTTGGTACAAAATCTACGTCTACTCATCAATGATCCCACGTACAAACAAAAGGCCATGGAGATGTCACGTAAATTCCGCGATAATCTCATCGATCCACTGGAGGAGGCCGCCTTCTGGATGGAGTATGTGGTTAGACATAAGGGTGCGCCACATCTGAAATCCCACGGCGCCTTCATGCCGCTCTATCAGTATTTATTGTTGGATGTGTTCGGTTGTGCGCTCGTGTTGTTGTTCGTGGCTGTTTGGCTGCCACTGCGCTTATTCGAATTGCGCTCTCCACTCACCGCCTGGGCGGATAAACTCCTTTGCTTCGGTAAAGGCAACACACAAGGCACGAAGGGCATACAAATCGATCTGAAAGCCAGTAATAAATACCGTTATGCGGGTTAACACACATACACGCACACCACAGTGCCTTCGCAGAAATAAAGGCTTTGGCGGGTTAAAAATTAATTTATTGTGAATTACACATAGAAGAGCGCTTCTAATCATTGTATTTTAAGCGCTTGAGCATTTACGTATTTGAAGTTCCTTTGCAAGTATACTTCCACAGAAGATTTGCTATGGTTTGGAAATTGCACAAATTGTAGAATTGTTTAATTTTAAATCGTAATGCGCAAACTTATATGTAATTAAGTATAAGTAGTGATTATTTGTTGTTGCGTTTTAAGTGGCAGGCATATTGATGATTTGTAGTAGCAACATGCTCTTAAGGATAAATGAATGAATAAAAGACTTAGCAATAATGCACGACTAGAATAATTGAAATGTGTTTTTGATGGAATTTCAGATGTGGATAGAACTCCATCGTCCAATCAGAATTTTGTAGTGAAAACTCAGAATACGTTCGATAAGAGTCCGCTGACAAGACCAAGCAGCTGGCAGCTGGTGACTGCTTTTATCAAACCTAATGGTCCTTCTTCGACACAGTGAAGTGAAAAGAAACTCTTTCGGCAGAAACAAGACGGTTTTGTTGCTGATCTCGAAATAAGAAACTTACCCAAATTATCCTTTTCTCTTAAGCTCTTTGAAAACTATGTGTATCCTCATTCACAAATGGCACTGAAACTTATAAAACGAAATATTCCGTGCTTAATATAGTATTTTCATACTTTTCAATGTTCCAGAAATATTATCCAAATCATTATTCATTATAAATTCAAGTGAAGTGAATTTAAGCTCAACATATGTTGTTTTAAAATCTATTGCATTTACTGTTTTGTTTTTTAGCTAATTAAATTGTTTTAAAACTTCTGAAATTTTAACATAATTAATTTATTTTATATCCATTTTATAAAACGTTCACTGTAGTCTGCCAGACTACTGTTCACTGTACTAAGTGTTGCATACCTTTAGGCGCGATCGTTGCATATGCAAGATCAGTTTATCATTGCATGCTGCATACCCTACTCAACATTATAAAGCATTTTATTACCGTTTTAATTAAATTTATATTTTATTTTACTTTAATACATTTTTAATACTAAATTATCTCAGTATATGTTGCTTTCTACTACCTAATTAGATCTTTTAAAAAATTTTATTTTAATTTAATTTTAATATATATCTTTCAAGTAGTTTTATAATACATTCTGTAATAGTAAATAAATTATCATAATTTCATATTACTTATTTATGTTTCAAGTCATTGTTTCATTTAAATTTTTAATTCATTTCTATTTTATACTTTTATTTTATTCTATAAACATATTTAACAGAATATTATATTTTAGTTTACTTTATGCTATATAATTATTCACTTTTTTTGATTTTATTCGTTTAATTTACCTTTATTTATTTTATTTTAATTTACTTTAACTTTAATTAATTTTTTTTTTTTACAATATTTCATTTCGAAATATTCTATTTTGTTTTATTTTATATCTTTTGATTTTTGAGTGTATTTAATTTCGTTTTAAAAAAATTTATTTTCTTTTATGATTTGTTTTAATTTAACTTAATTTTATCATACAATATATAAATTTATTTCACTTTATTACATTTTTTATTGTATTTTATTTCTTTATTTTATTTTATTAATTAATAACATTTCTTAATTTTTACTTAATATAATATATATTAATTTTAGTTTATATTATCTTATTTTACTTTTTGTATTTTTATGTTTTATTTTATTTTATAACATTGTGTCTAACTTAATTTATTTTAAATAACTACATATTTTTTATGTCATTTTCTTTTATATTGTTTTTTTTTTTTTGTATTATTTCCTTTTATTTTATTTCAAGTTAATTTATTTTACTTTACTTTATTTTTTATTTCTTTTTGTTTTATTTTATGTTTTTGTTTCAATTAATTTTATTTTCTCTTCCTTAATTTTTTATTTTATGTTATTTTATTTAATTTTTTATTGTATTTTATTTTATATTATTTCCTTTTTTTAATTATGTTTATTTCCTTTTATTTAATTTTATTTTATTTTATTTCGTTTTATTTAATTTTGTTTATTTACTTTATTTTATTTTAGCATTTTTTTAATTTTATTTTAAATTTTTTTATTTCTTTATTTATTTTTTTTTTTGTTGGCCCTTTTTTATTTTTTGTCTTATTTTATTTTTTTATAATATTTTATTTATTCTATTTATTTTTTTTCTTAATTTCATTATATATTTGTTTATTTTATTTCATTTTGTTTTAGTTTTTATATTATAAAATTTTATTTCATTTTCTTCCATTTTATTTTATCTTGTTTTTTTTTATTTATATTTTTTAAATTTAATTTATTTCACTTTATATCATGAAATTTTTTTAAATTTTATTTAATTTTTTTTTTTATTTTTGTTTATTTTTTTTTTAATTTTATTTGGATTAATTTAATTATTTTTTTGTTGCTTATTTAATCCCATTTTTTGTTCTATTTGATTTTGTTTTAGTTTATTTTACTCTCTATCCAATTTTTTTAATTATTTAAATTTAAATTATTTAATTTTAGTTATTTTACTTTATTATATTTTAGTTTAGCTTAATTTATTTTAATTAATTTTGTTTTGCTTAATTTTTTATCTTATAATATATTTTCTCTTTTTCTTTGTACTTTACTTTATTTTATTTTAGATTATTTTTCTTTATTATCTATTTTATTAGTTAATTTGGTTTAACTTTGTTTTATTATTATTTATTTAATTTATTTGTTAGCATTTTTAAATTATTTGTATAACGTCACCAACTTTAAAATGGTTTAACTGCTTAATCGTTTTCGATGCCAGCAGACGCGCCAACAATCTGCGTTAAAAACAAGAAGAAAAATTGCATAACAAGTGCAAATTCTGAGCTTTACAAGCAAACCAAATGAAGCCGAAGAAAATTAGAGCAGAGGAAGGCACGGCGGCCAATGTAGCACTCGGGCAAAATAAACCGGACACAGAAAACTTTCACTGACGAGCAGAGCAGATGAGCGTTAAATAATCATAATAAAAAAGTGAATAAATAAATGAAATTAAAATGACCAAGAGGCAAAAGGGAGTAAAGTGCAATAAGCTGTTATACATACATATTACATATTTACATGTGTGTAAGATGCGCATGTAACTTGTGATGCTGCGCGCAGCTGGACACTCGAAGGCGTTTGTGGTTACTCGAACACAGTGCCTGCTGCTAATGCGACGCCGGCGCTGTTTGTTGGAATTTGTTTATTATAAAATCAAAAAGCAAAATTAAATTTACAAAACAAAAGTGTAGAGTTTGCATGAAAAGGGTAGACAAGCCACAACTGACTTTCGGAAACACTTCAAACCGGTTGGACGATTTCAGTTTTGACATTCAATTTGTTCACTGTTTCAATCAATTTTGTTTTTGTTGTGGGATTTTCTTCCCTTTGAAGAAGTATATACCTTTATTTAATATTTATATTAACTTTTGTTGTATTTTTTGTAAAATTTTTGTGCCACTTTTGTTGTTTTATTTCTTTCCTTTTCGACTCATGAGTACATGAGTACATCATTTCTTAATTATTCGCTTAATATTTTTTTTGTTTGGTTCCGCTGTTGCTAGGCTTGTGGTTTTATTTATTCATTTCATGTGTTTTTGTAATTTGTTGTTGCTGTGCTGTTGAATGGTTCGATTTCGTCACTAGGTACCAGGTTTGTGCCATCTCTTTGCAACTCTTTTGTTTTAATTTACATTTATTTATTGTTGTTGCCCAAAATGTTGTTATTGCACCTACTTGTTTTTGGTTTTGAACGGATTTATAAAATTGGAATGTATATTTTAAAAGTCTAGCGACAGTGTTGTAACGTGTGTCGGGGTACCAAAGGGGGCTAATCGAAGTTTTGAAATAAAAAAAACTAAATTCAATTAAAGGTAAGAATATAACTCATTAATTTATGTTTTATAACTAAATTTGTGTAGATTTTAAAATTGCATCCTAAATTTGCTATATATTTGGGTGAATGAATATTTTTTTTTAATATTGAATAACACCAGTTATCATTCGCCTCCTACTCCTTTGCCCCTATTTTATTTGTTGATTTCCACCACTTTTGTCTTATCCAAGTCAAGGTCTTTGCATGTGTTACTCGCTACTCAATCACCGTAAATGAGTTGTTTATTAAGTTTTTAATTGGATTAAGATTACCTTTTACCGCCAATCAAATTAAATTATACAAACGTAAATACGAGGTGTGTTCAATAAATATCGCAAATTTTGTCTTTTTTTTTTCAAAAATTATGTATTTATTCATGAATATCTATTTTGTCCCCTTCAAAGTAATCCCAATGAGATATTATTCACTTGTGCCAACGATTTTTCCAATCTTCGAAGCACTCCAAAAAATCATTTTTGCCGTCTTTATCGCATTAATCGTAGTGTAACGTCATCCTTTCATGGGCCTCTTCAGTTTAGGGAACAAGAAAAAGTCACAGGGGGCCAGATCTTGCAGGTAATATTCCTTATTGACCGTTCGACCCTGTGGCAATACCAATTTCTCCACTTGATTAATCTTTTTATCTGTTGTTGAAGTGCTCGGGCGTGCGGCACGCTCTTCGTCGTTCACATCTTCTCGGCCTTCTGATAACATTTTGTATCACCGATAATCGTTGCTTCGGTCCAAGGTAGCTCTCCGTGTGCCACAGTCAACATTCGGAACGCATCCGCGCCCTTAATTTCTTTTTTCTCACAAAATTTGATACAGGTTCTTTGATCAAATTTTTTGAATAGGTAAAAATCGAAGATCAACCAAAACATGTGCAAGCAAAGCAGCTCTTAACAATTAAGTGAGCATTCGATATGGCCGAGCTTACCGGCATAAATGACAGACATGAGTACCAACATAACGCCACAAAAAAATCGAAATTCGATTACACGTAACCCGCGAAAATTCAAAATTCGCGATACCTTTTGAACACACCTCGTATATGTATGTGCGTCTATACGATTTGCACTTCAAATGTAAAAGTGCGTCTGTGAATCCATATTAATATTCATTTTTGGAAATTAAACATATTATAAGCAAACTATTGTTTTTATGAGGTAGATACCCCATGGTTAAAACGTAGGAGGAGAGAGCGCTTCAAAAAAGAAAATAATAATAATTAATATAAGCAAAAATAATTAAAATTACAAAAAATCGAACGTAAAATTTTTGAGTGGAAGTAGTTGCTTCATTCGGCTTAGACGGGAGAGCCCCGTAAGTCATGTCCTGACTTTAACGTCCCTGAACTGAATCCCCCATACATATTTATTTTATCATAATTTTTTTTATTTTGCTTATTTTATTTTATTTGATT